CGTGACTGACATCACAATTACAGGAGACAATCACAGACCGCCAGCCTCCGGACCAGTTCGACCAGTTAATAAGTTTACTAGCTGACTTCTTGACCAACCTTCTTTAGACAAAGTGAGCAACACAATCAAATTAAGGCAGCCGCACAGGGAGCTAATCTGATTTCCGCTCAAGGGCGAGAACCCAGTTGGACATCCGGGCATCCGGCTCATCACAACTTCCGCTTTGGTACACGTGACTGATTTTTTAACGAGCTTTAGTGCATCCGGGGTTTCTATCGTTGTTTCTGTTCTCTTTCTTGGTTGTTTCTGTTCTCTTTCTTGGTTGTTTCTGTTCTCTTTCTTGGTTGTTTCTGTTTTCTTTCTTGGTTGTTTCTGTTCTCTTTCTTGGTTGTTTCTGTTCTCTTTCTTGGTTGTTTCTGTTCTCTTTCTTGGTTGTTTCTGTTCTCTTTCTTGGTTGTTTCTGTTCTCTTTCTAGGTTGTTTCTGTTCTCTTTCTTGGTTGTTTCTGTTCTCTTTCTTGGTTGTTTCTGTTCTCTTTCTTGGTTGTTTCTGTTCTCTTTCTTGGTTGTTTCTGTTCTCTTTTTTGGTTGTTTCTGTTCTCTTTCTTAGTTGATTTGTCTTTCTTTCTGAGAGATAACATGGCGTTGTCTTGAATATTTGGGTTACGTCATTTAGCTTTAGTCGGTTAAAAGTTATCACGAGACGCGCCGGAATCTAGGGGTGTTAGACTTTCCAACCAATGTTTTGTTTGTGTCAGTGCCCTTGCGTAATACTTGCCATTTCCAGGTTTTAACATCATCTGTCTGACAAGCGAGGAAACAACAGTCTGAAGACCAATAAGCATACATAAATACGTACATACATACATACATACATACATACATACATACATACATACATACATACATAATACAAAAATACATGCATGCATGCATACATACATACATACATACATACATACATACATACATACATACATACATACATACATACATACATACATACATACATACATACATACATACATACATACATACATACATACATACATACATACATACATACATACATACATACATACATACACACACACACACACACATACATACATACATACATACATACATACATACATACATACATACATACATACATACATACATACAGACATACATACAGACATACATACATACATACATACATACATACATACATACATACATACATACATACATACATACTTACATACATACATACATACATACATACATACATACATACATACATACATACATACATACATACATACATACATACATACATACATACATACATACATACATACATACATACATACATACATACATACATACATACATACATACATACATACATACATACATACATACATACATACATACATACATACACACATACATACATACACACATACATATATACACACATACATACATACACACATACATACATACACACACACATACATACATACACACATACATACATACATACACACATACATACATACACACACATACATACACACACATACATACATACATACATACATACATACATACATACATACATACATACATAAATACATACATACATACATACATACATACATACATACATACATACATACATACATACATACATACATACATACATACATACATACATACATACATACATACATACATACATACATACATACATACATACATACATACATACATACATACATACATACATACATACATACATACATACACACATACATACATACACACATACATACATACATACATACATACATACATACATACATACATACACACATACATACACACACACACACACACAAATACATACATACATACATACATACATACATACATACATACATACATACATACATACATACATACATACATACATACATACATACATACATACATACATACATACATACATACATACATACATACATACATACATACATACATACATACCCATATTGTATAGATCAATCAGAATGGATGATGTGGTCAGTGCCACGCCGGCCGCCTTTTCTTCCTTGCACACTGCCTACGAGCCACTAAGGGCTGGGTCAAGTTGAGAGCCAGGGTCCTTTTTAAAAACGTTCGGCTCCATCAGGATCCAAACCCACGACCTTTCGATCCGTACGCCAGCGTCTACCCGTTACACCAGCAACAACATAGCCAGCAACAACATAGTAAGCAACAACATGGCAAACAACTACTTGGGTAGCAACAACTTGGCAAACAACAACTTGGCCACAAAAACATGGCTAGCAACAACATGGCCAGCAACTTGGCCAGCAACAACATAGCCAGCAACAACATGGCCAGCAACAACAAGGCCAGCAACAACATGATCAGCAACAACATGGCCAGTAACAGCATGGCTAGCAACTTGGCCAGCAACAACAAGGCCAGCAACAAGGCCAGCAACAACAAGACCAGCAACAACAAGGCCAGCAACAACAAGGCCAGCAACAACAAGGCCAGCAACAACATGATCAGCAACAACATGGCCAGTAACAACATGGCCAGCAACTTAGCCAGCAACAACAAGGCCAGCAACAAGGCCAGCAACAACTTGGCCAGCAACAACTTGGCTAGCAACAACTTGGCCAGCAACAACTTGGCCAGCAACAAAATGGCCAGGAACAACATGACCAGCAACAACTTGGCTAGCAACAACTTGGCCAGCAACAACTTGGGAAACAACAACTTGGCCAGCAACAACTTGGGAAACAACAACTTGGCCAGCACTAACTTGGGAAACAACAACTTGGCCAGCAACAATTTGGGAAACAACAACTTGGCCAGCAACAACTTGGCCAGCATCTTTGCTAGCAACAACTTGGCCAGCAACAACTTGGCAAACAACAACATGGCCAGCAACAACTTGGCCAGCAACAACATGGCCAGCAACAACTTGGGAAACAACAACATTTCCAGCAACAACTTGGCCAGCATCTTGGCCAGCAACAACTTGGGAAACAACAACTTGGCCAGCAACAACTTGGGAAACAACAACTTGGCCAGCATCTTGGCCAGCAACAACTTGGCCAGCAACAACTTGGCAAACAACAACTTAGCCAGCAACAACCTAGCCGTATATCTATGTAACACACAACATTCTAATTGGGTGAATAATGTTTTGGTAAGACATATCGTGGCTGTGTGAGTGCGTCCGTACATCGATAACTCGCCGCTCGATAACTGCCGCGGTTATCGGAGTTATTGGTCACAGCTGTAACCACTGAGTCACTGCTAAAGAGAAGTATTTGAGCCGTTTGTTCCATCAATTCAGTTCTGGTTCTACATAGCACATGTTGTAGGATATTAGTGACTGAGTTTGAAAAAAAAAACATTAGTAATTTTATAAATGTTTTATAAAGAGTTTAAGTGTATTTTAGACTATGTTTAAGTTATATTTGTATATTTATCTTTAACGCTGGTATTAATTTATTATTATTGTCTTGTGTAGTTTTATCTCGAGCGTCGACTTCGGTGATTTGCTGCGACCTACTGCAGTTTGCCAAATAAACTGTTTAGTTTATTCATAGCACTCGTTGTGGTGTTAGGACCTGCTTCTGTATCATGTTCTTTGAGTTTAATGACTGTAAACTCTGATAGAAAATTAAGGTTGTTAATCTATTTCTGAAGTTTTTCCTGCACATCCGTTTTACAAATATGGCTTTGTTATATGCAGATCTCTGGTTCCTCGCCGAATTCGAAGGAAATATCCCTTATTAGGTGACTTTTACGGCATGCTTGTTGGGAGCAGTGTGTCTATTTCTCTTTTATGAATTATGCTATCTCTGTGTGGGTTACGGGGTCCCGCAGTGGGGGAAACGAGAATGGACCCACTGCCTCCCCTCAACACACACACACACACACACACACACACAAGCATGTCGCAGGAGTCGACTAATTGGCGACTTCCTTCGAAGTTGGAGTGCAAGGAACAACCAGCTGCACACAAATACGTCAGTAAAAGGAATGTACACGCAAAACTCAGGCCCTGGCACAAAGTCAGTCTAAAATGACGAACAACCAGGACTTTCCACCAGAGCTTACAGTCGGTGAACAAAGAATAAGAAGAAGATGCTAAAGATATAGTTGTATATTAACCGTTACGCTGGTAATTATTTATTAATTCTTGTGATCGTGGTTTCATTGTGAGTTTTACAATCGGTATTTCAAGAAGTACTAGATGCGTTCTAAGTTGTGACTACTCACAGCTTAAACAGTCATTAGCAAGGTCAACGGAGGTTAAAGTAAACACACGCAACGGATTACTAGTTACTAATTTAGGAATCGACATAATTGCACACCGGGCATACCCAGAGATGCTCCGTCTCCCGCAGCAAATGTCTTGAGGTGTAGCTGCTGTTTTCATAGCACACTGATTATACCCACCTCGTTGTGTTCCTCGGTACGTCCTTCCTTGCCAGACCCACTCCTAATTCCATATTGGCAAATTCGTACAAATGTTTTTTTTTTATCTAACACCGTGCCTTATATCATAATTCTTCCATAAATAGTTTTTAGAAAGTCTACTTTGTCGGTACGAGTGTTCCTTTAGCTATTGTTTTTGTGGTCATAACATCCGCTATTTAATTCCCCCGTACTCCTGCATGCTATGGACAGTAAATCCACGTAAGTCCCTGTAATGTTTGCTGCTGATCCTCGGCATCCACTCATGCAACATTTGTCCATTGTCAACCCTTCCCAGTACCGACAGCAAAGCAGTCACTATGATTCTTCTGGTAATTCTAGTTTGTGGTGTCCACGCCAGAGCTGCAGTGACTGTCTCCACCTCCATCTTCATGCTGGATGTTGTAGATAAAGACGCCCATCAATACAAATAACGGTTTCGACCAGTCTTCGTCTTCTTTCCCTATTTCCTGATAACGGTGAGATATTAAAACATTCAAACATGGACAACGACTGCAACTTTTCGAAAGATAACATTGAAACCAGTGAGAAGGGAGAGACCTCCCAAGAGAACATTGCTGGTAGCACACAACAAGAATCACCAGCTAGAGAGTGTAGTAATGCAACACAGGAAAGTATCACATTTACCAACACAGAAGACAGTGAAAGTGAAGGCAAGGGATGTGTTTCACATGCAGGTGCTGAAGTGAAGTATTATTGCTCACAGTGCCACACCGCTGTCTGTGATGTGTGCATGCAGGTAGGCTGTGATGTGTTGTTGATGTTCTGTTATTGATGTAGCTGATGTGATGTGTTTGTTTCCTTTTTGATGTTGAGGATTTGATGTGTTGTTGATGTTCTGTTGTTGATGTTAAGGATGGGTTGTGTTGTTGATGTTTCCTTGTTGATGTCAAGGATGCGATATGTTGTTTATCTTTCGCTGTTTGTGTCAGGGATGTGATATGTTGTTGAGGTTTCGCTGTTTATATCAGGAATGCCATATGTTGTTTATGCTTCTCTATAGATTCCGTGATAGTGATATGTTGTTGATATTTCATTGTTGGTTTCACGGACGTGATGTATTGCTGATGTTTTGCTGTTGATGTCAAGGATGTGATGTGTTGTGGTTTTGTTGTTATTGACGCCAAGGATGTGATACGCTGTTGATGTCAAAGACTGTACTGAGTTGTTAATCAAATGGATGTGATGTGTTGAGTTCTGGATGTGATATGTGTTGTTGATGTTTAGTTGTGACATGTTGTTCAATATTAAGCTGCTATCTTTAAACAAAGAAGACGCAAACTATTGATTGCACTTATTATTGACTGTCACATATTATTGCCTGTCACATATTATTGCCTGTCACATATTATTGCCTGTCACATATTATTGCTGAGGAGAGGCTGGCCGACAGGTTGAGTATTCTGAGCTCTCACACTGGAGTCCTAGGTTTGAAACCTCAGTACAGTCGTGGATTTTGTTTTTCTATCATGGCAAAACTAAAACCTTAATCTACACAGTCCGTGGTGATAGCCTTCGTCATGAGGTCCTAAGTCCTCAGACTTATAGTTTTTTTTTTTTCTGCCTACACAGCAAAAGTACTAAATAAAGGGAATAATTGTCAGTTCTTGTTTTCAACGTATTTATCTGCACACACACACAAAAAGCAAGTAAATGAATGCTTTATAATTAAGAAATCACCCACGCTGAAAAGTAACTGTATAAAAGCAAGTTCACGACCATGTCTTTTTGTTTGCACAAATCTGGACAGAAATAATTAAAGTTTCATGCTGTTACTTGACCAGATACAGCGAAATATGCCGGAGAATAAATTGTGCGGACTATTGTTTGTATCTTCTTTGATAAAATTTATAACAAGGACATATTGCTTTAATTGTCTCAAGTACAAGCATAAAATAAAAACCGTACAGTCCCCACAGTGTGCATGTCAGACTGGGCCGCAAACATTAGCGCGTTCTGCAGGGCTGCCCACTCGCCTTACAGCATTCCTTGGCAGTTGACAATCGGAAAGAGTAGCCCAACGGCGCTTAAGGGGGCAAAATTTTGAGTTTAAGATCTACCCAAAGTATTTCAGAATTCTCGCTACTGCGCTGAGATTATTCGGACTCAGGCTTGAGTTAGATGTAGAACGGAGCACTTATGGGTTACTGTCCTTGTGCCATGATGTTGATCCGTTGTTGAAACCTAAACTTACAACTTTGAAAAGACACCTGGCCCCAAGAGCTAAGTGTGCAATGCAAACTATGGGAACCCCGAAGGACCTGTGAGTGACAGGAATTCATAGAGACAACCCACGTGACAGTCTCACCCGAGCATACGAAACTGACTGCAGAGAAGAAAACAGATTATTGTCTTATATTACAACAGGTTTTGATGTGACAGGCTTTAAAAGTTAATTTGTGGGCTGCTCAAAATGTATGACTCTTTGTCTAGATCAATTTTAAATTAGAAATAAGTTTAACATATGGATGCGCATTCTTGACAATTTGGTAACAGGTCGCAAAATTAGAGAGATGTCGTTTTCATCATCATCGGCCTATTGTGCCATGTCAAACGTGGCTTGCAGTTTATTCATTATTTCTATTCTATGTTGTCTAATCTCTTCAATAGCACGGATAGATTTCAGTCCAGCACCTTCGTCTTCTTTCATTAACGTTCGTTTTAGGGTTTCTTTTGGAGGTCCTCGCTCTCTCAGTCCATTTATTTCCAATTTAAGTGCGTGTTTCTTGATTCTCTGCTCGTTTACTCTCAGGATGTGTCCAGTATAGCGTCCTTTTCTCTGTCTTATAACTGTTGTTACTAGTGGTTCTTATTCTTCTTTAGAACTCGGAGCTCTTGAGGTTCATTGCTGCAGATATCACCTACCTCCACTCATCTCTCTTGTTGGCTTTTTCTTTCGAGCTGGTGACACTAAATGTTTTTAGGTCTGTCTGGACATTATCTCGCCATCGTCCTCTTGGTCTGCCTCGATGTCTAGAACCATTCAGTTCCTTTGTGTATACAGTTTTTTCCTCTCTGTCATTTAACATTCTCTCAATGTGCCCCAGCAATTTCAGTCTATTAGTCCTCATGACGCCAATTATCAGTGGTCATTTAAACAAATGAACTTTGTTGTTCCCTCTAACTCTCCATTCCCCGTTGTTAAAACATGCATGCTTCTATTTTGTGAATTATCTCAGTGAATGCTTCACATTTACATGTTTTCTTTTTTGTCTGCGTTTGATCTTAAAAGGAAGATTGGCATGTTGCATTGTGATTTACATCTAGGCTGCGAAATCTTTGCATTTCGACCCAACACTTTAAGCGTGGGTTCTGTGGCTTATTTGGAAAGGGTGGGGTGGGGGGGGGGTGGTTGTTAGACGCACTGCCCCCTACAAAGCATATGGTTCTACACAGCTGATTAGAGCTGTTTTCTTCTAAATCGGAGACCATTTACCTGAGACGCCAGGAAGCAACAGTATGCATATAAATAAGCCAGATCTGTCAAATTGATACGCACGCAAAACTCAAGTTCTGTAGCAAGGCTATGGTTCATAAGTTCATAATACCTAAAACTTTCCTCCTGAGTTTATAGCAAGTAAATATCATGAAGAGGAAAGATACCTAACACATCCGAATGCAGCAAACCTCTAGTCGCATTTTACGACATGTTTATTGGCAGAAGAAGGGCAGCGAGTCAATTCTTTTTTTTTTTTTCTTCCAAAATGTGGGACCATGACCCACGCGGGTAAATGCATATACACTCAACCAGAAAGTGATGAAAGCTGGGGGACTGCAGACAAGGAGAAGGGGAACACTGTCCACAATCAACCAAAAAGTGATAAAATCAGGAGGAACTATAGACAAGGAGAAGGGAAACAATGTCAACAATCAACCAGAAAGTGATGAAACAGGCGGGACTGCAGACAAAGGAGAAGGGATACAATGTCGACTGTAGCCTTTGTGGATACAAATCTCACAACCAGCAACTAGGTCATGCTGATAACTTTTAAATATAGGAACAGGAAAAGTTGATGTGGAACAAATAAAATAAATGAAGGAGTGCGTGTATGTGTGTGTGTGTGTGTGTGTGTGAGAGATAGATAGAGAGAGAGAGAGAGGATCGAATTCACTGCACCGTGTTTTATCCCGTATGGCTCAGTCTCTCTCCACAGAACAGCTAGCTGTCTGCCGAGAATGTCGCACAGAAAACGACCTCCGTAGCTCCGGCCGCGATCCCTATGGATCTCCCTAAAAATGCAATCGGGAACTGAAAAATTAAGGGGCAAAAGTATAGTAATAATAATAATAAACGATTTTTTTAAAGCAGTCAAAGAAGTAAAATGGTGTTAGTAGTGGAAATAATAATTGTTATTAAAAAATGGAAATTTAAATGATGCACAAATCGTAACAATAACAGACAAAATAAAGTAAAATAAAAACGTAAAATAAAATGGAAGTAGGAATAAAAGTATTATTTAGATGAAGGTGTTCTGAACATTGATACCTACTGGGTTCAGAACACCTAAACTAGGAATGAAGCGATTTTTCCAAAAAGAAACGTGTGATTTGATTACCAAAGCAAGAGTGTATGACAGTGTCAAAAGAACATCTGAAAAGGAGAGGGACAGAGGTGAATGTCTCCTTTTCAATATACAAGAGATATTCATTATCAGTGCCCCCCCCCCCCCCCACTTTTCTCGGTATGCCTCTTAGTCACAGTGAATATATGAATCAATCAATCAATCAATCAATCAATCAATCAAGGCTTGACATCCATGTACTCGGGACATTCTCATACGTACTCCGTCTCCTTCCTCAGGAGTCAACGAAGAGTCGATATGCTAATAATACCAGTTGCAACACTGTTTTCACCGCAGTTTTGAATATCTACCCATCGCTCACCCCGCGCCCTTTTCTCTACCCCCCTCCCCCGGGCCGCAGAATTAGTCTGTTAGTGTATGGATGTTCATCTGTTCTGTTGCCACTGTCCACATGATCCCAGAAAACCATCAACACATCTGGGTAATCATAAAGTAGCTCATCACCCATGGGAGCAGCAGCAGCCAGTCTCTAATCTGATCGTACCCCGCACACCTGAATACTCTGGCGAGGGGGGGGGGGGGGGAGGGGTGGGGAGTCAACGATACACTTCTAATCAGTCATTTTAAGCGATGCAAGTCACTCAGCACGTAGGACGCCAGTTTCTAGTTCCCGAAGCATGCTCTATTTCCGTTGCATTGACCACATGTTGGGTGGTACTGCTCTTAATCCATCAGAAAGCTGCCGTTACTGCCTCCACCTCCATTCTCATACATTTTGGACATAAATGATTGTATTTTTTCTTACAGACAGATCATGTAGGCCACACGACCACTGCCATGTCTGGAGCTATGACAGGGGACAGAGCATCCTTGACTTCCTTGGTGTCCACAATAAAAGACGCGATTCCACGTGTGGATAAAGCGATAAAAGTGGTGGAGGACATTCAATGTCAGCTGATCGTCAATACAGAATCGGCAAAGATTAAGGTAACCTCTTCAACGATAATATCGTAGTCATCATTAACACGATTATAGTCAACATCATTACACTCATAATCATCAGCATCATAATCACCATCATCACTATCATTTTTATTATTACCATATCATCGTCATCATCATTATTATCATCATCATTGTCATCATCATTGTCGTCATCCTCATCACTATCATTACAATCATAATATTCATTATTATCATCATAATTATCACCACTGTTATTATCATCATTGTCATGAGGAAGAAATAGTTTGAAGCTATCCACACGTGTCCTACTGAATATCGCCGCCTCTGTGGCCTAGATGTTAGTGAATGCGTATAACAATTTTATGGTCTTCGATTACTAGGCTTCGATCTCCTTGATAGTCGCTCCGTCCGCCTCTCCCCCCACCCCAGCCACCACCCAATTTTCATAAATCACTTTTCGTGGCTTTCGAGACGAGACTCGCATGGCGAAAGAGATTGAGACTCAAACCTTCACCCGCCCAGCACGGCAGGTTACTCCACCGGGTGTAACTGTCTCGGCTGCCCCCACTATAGCTTCTTTCGGGGTTTAAAGAGTACTGGAGATTTTTCCTGCTAGCCTGCCTTGGCGTACAAGGTGTCTCATTGGCCAGTATAGGACTGGAACCGTTAGCCACGAAACGCGGATGTGTGGGTTCAAGGGGGTGCGTGAGCATCCAAAGACGTGTCAAGAGTGATGTGAAGATAACCCCACTTGTAACTCGCATCTCCAGGCAGCAGCTTGACCGTAGAAAATGGATACGGCTACGAAGATTAGTCGGCTTCTGTGGTTTAAGCGTTGCAAACGCGCATCGTAATGCTAAGGTGCTGGGTTCGAACCCAGCTGCAAGCAGTTTTGCGTTGATTTCGACAGTTCAGTTGTAATGGCAAACTACTGAACGTAATAATTACCTAGAAAATCCGCAACAGTCAACAAATGCTGGGGTTGGTTTTGCAAAGTCCAGTTTTTGCAATGTCCTGTTTTTTAATTGTCCTGGTTTTTCAATGTTCTGTAAAGGACACACAACTAACTTTAGAGATTAGAGCTGATCATCTTCAGGTTGCACGCCTTTCACAGAACCTCGCTTCCGTCACAACCCGTCGAAAGGAACTTGATCTTTCGCCAGCTCTCTCTCCCCCCCCCCCCCTTCCCTCGTGAACATTCCCATCCATCGCGTCACTTATATCTTGTGGCAACCTTCCTGCTGGTCGACCTCTGCCTCTATTTAGAGGTCATCATCATCATTATAAACCAATTATGCCATTAAGTTGCCTTGGGAGGAATAATTTGCGATCTAGTACACGATGGCTGCCACCGACTATTGTCATGCCATGAAGGCGTAGAGTCTCTTTAATGATGTCGATCCATATGTTCGCGGCAGTCCTCTTGCCTGTGTAGTTGATCTTCTGAGATGTAGTGCCTGTGATGGTATTTGATCATGCTGCATTCTAACCAAATGTCTGAACCATTTGATCTGCTGTTTAGAACTTTAGAGGCATACCACATAGTATTTTATTATCAAAGGCAACAGGGAGTGCATTGAAGCCAAACATCGTTGTAAATACGGCACAACGTTTTATATATATATATATATATATATATATATATATATATATATATATATATATATATATATATATATATATATATATATATTTCATTATGGGCTTTTCTTTTGCTATGATCTGCTTTATGTCCCTAGGCACGCAGACCAGCAAATGATCGGTATGGGAACTGGGGCATGCTCGGTTTCCCGGTATGCTGCGATGCTATGGAGTCTGAAAGTATCAGTGACTTCTTCAAACAATATTCATTTTGGTCGTCTCCTACCTCTTGGTGTTTGTACATGCATGTACGCTCTCGCTGCTGGCATCATTCGATTCATTCACATTAAATGTCCAAACCATTTCTTTCTTTGTTTTTCAACGAATTTAATTGTACGTGTTGTTCCAATAGTTTTTTTTTTATTTTTTTATTTCTTCTTTTCGCACACAATCTCTACTAGCGTTGTCCATGGGCGTTCTCAGACATATCATTTTGTAGGTGGTCAGTTTTCTTTAGTGTTCTCTAGACAATGTCCATGTCTGACACTGATAGCACATGTTTGGTACGAAGATTGAGATTCTCTCTTTCAAATCCAGATCAACTCTTTGTTTAACGAGCTGGCGTTTTTGGTGGAGCAAAGGAAGCAAGCAGCTCTGGGAGATCTGGCACAGAAAACTGCTTCCAAAGAAAATGTCTTGAAGGAGCAGAAGAGGGTGTTGATGGAGCAGCTAAACTGCATCAACAGCTGCTGTGGATTGGCCGCGGATGCTCTTGCTGACGACTGGGATGCGGATGTTGCTATGGTCAGGAAGAATGTTACAGAAAAGGTATGGGGAAGAAAAACTTAGTTCTTGTGTACCATTCTTCTATACGTATTATTTATTGAATAATGTATTCTAGGTTGATTCGTGTATTGCCTCTTTCTTTCTTTCTTTCTTTCTCTTTTTCTTTCTTTCTTTCTTTCTTTCTTTCTTTCTTTCTTTCTTTCTTTCTTTCTTTCTTTCTTTCTTTCTTTCTTTCTTTCTTTCTTATTTCTTTCTTTCTTTCTTTCTTTCTTTCTTTCTTTTCTTTTCTTTCTTTCTTTCTTTTTCTTTCTTTCTTTCTTTCTTTCTTTCTTTCTTTCTTTCTGTCTTTCTGTCTTTCTTTTTTTTTTTCTTTTCTTTTTTTCTCTTACTTTCTTGTACTTTTTTTTCTCTCTGATCTCTTTTTTTGCATCTTTTTTTGTAGTTTTTATTTTTATTTTTCCCCTGTCTATTTTATTTCTAACCTTTCTTTTACATCCCCCTCACTTTTTTTGTTTTTGTAATGTGCATTAATAGTCTTTCTTTCTTTCTTTCTTTCTTTCTTTCTTTCTTTCTTTCTTTCTTTCTTTCTTTCTTTCTTTCTTTCTTTCTTTCTTTCTTTCTTTCTTTCTTTCTTTCTTTCTTTCTTTCTTTCTTTCTTTCTTTCTTTCTTTCTTTCTTTTTTTCTTTCTTTCTTTCCTCTTTCTGTCTTTCTGTCTTTCTTTTTTCTTTCTTTCTTTCTTCTTTCATTTTTTCTTTCTTTTCTTTCTTTCTTTCTTCTTCTTTCTTTCTTTCTTTTTCTTTTCTTTCTTTCTTTTCTTTTTCTTTCTTTCTTTCTTTCTTTCTTTCTTTCTTTCTTTCTTTCTTTCTCTCTTTCTTTCTTTCTTTTCTCTTTTCTTTCTTTCTTTCTCTTTCTGTTCTTTCTTTCTTTCTTTTCTTTCTTTCTTTCTTTCTTTCTTTCTTTCTTTCTTTCTTTCTTTCTTTCTTTCTTTCTTTCTTTCTTTCTTTTTCTTTCTTTCTGTCTTTCTTTCTTTCTTTCTGGTCTTTCTTTTTTTCTTTCTTTCCTTTCTTTCCTTCTTTCTTTCTTTCTTTCCCTTCTTTCTTTCTTTCTTTCTTTCTTTCTTTCTTTCTTTCTTTCTTTCTTTCTTTCTTTCTTTCTTTCTTTCTTTCTTTCTTTCTTTCTTTCTTTCTTTCTTTCTTTCTTTCTTTCTCTCTTTCTCTTTCTTTCTTTCTTTCTTTCTTTCTTTCTTTCTTTCTTTCTTTCTTTCTTTCTTTCTTTCTTTCTTTCTTTCTTTCTTTCTCTCTTTTTTTCTTGTTCCCTCTTTCTTGCCTTTCTTGTCATTCTTTTTTTGCTATTTCTCCCCATTCGTTTGTTTTTCCTTCCCTGAACGAGAGGCAGCCTGTAAAATCATGTCAGGATTATTGCCTCTGTACAGCTGACAAACACATTAACTCTTCAAGTTCTTCTCCATCAACGTTAAACTATCTAGTCAACTATTACTGTCGGCAAAGATGCTGTAGCAGACAGTGGTACAGCAACTTAGGAATCTTACTTACCTTGAGAAAACGAAATGTAGTTTGTGATGGCGGACCTCAGTTCCCCACTCTCCCCTTAATCTCAATAACTATGTAACTAGGTTAATATCTTAATATCTTAATAATAATAATAATAATAATAATAATAATAATAATAATAACAACAATAATAATAATAAATAAATAAAAATAAATGAATAAATGAATAGAAAGATTTTAGAATATCATTTACCAAGAAGACATGCGGAATGACATCCTAAAAGATCTGAACATCAAGAAAGATTGCCCAGTAAACAGCATCTTGCCTCGGAAACTTCAATATTTTGTCCATATCAAGCTTCAAGGCGTATTAGAAAGAATCATAGCAAAAGGCGTTTTACAATGAAAGAGAGGTAGGGGCCGACCGGCGCGAAGACGGGCACAGGATATAAGCGACATCTTGGGTGGGAAACTGCACGAAGAGGTAGAAATAGCGAGAGACCGCGTTCCTTCAAAAGCAGGCTGTGATGAGAGCGACGTTCTGCAAAAGACCTATTAAAAATAGCTAAATAGTTATAAATGACCATAGCTTTCTAAATGGCTTGTTAATCCATTTCTTTACTTAAAACTCAACAGCTGAACGTCCTCCTTTCCAATCACCTAGTGCTACAGGCAGAGACTAACTCGCTTGTCTTCTTTGAGCCACGAGGAGTTGACAGTCTCCGGGAGATGATCAGCAATGCAGGCGTTGTTGTCAACAATACGGCGGTACCCTACCACACAACCGCTAGTGGAGACGCCTTTAGTAGCTGCGTTGCTGGGAAACCGACATTAGTTACCGTGACAACAAGGGACAGAAATGTGGAGCCTGTCAAGACTGGGTTTGCTCCCCTTACCGGATATATTACTTCAGGTAAGAATTATAGCGGATAAATGTTAAGTTTGCTTCTTTTATTCTTCTTCGCCTTAACCAACTGTAAACTTAGACGTCAAGTCTTAGTTGCTCTTGTCTTGTTCCACGATTTTTTTTCTTCCTCGTTCACTCAAAGATGTCATTGCGTTGTTCCCATTTACAACATGGCTGCGATATTTACGTCTTTCGGCCGACACATTCAACTTCTGCAGGCATTTGTTGTCCCGACTAACCTTCCTGGTGTTCCAGGATATAAGTGTTGCGTGTACATCCGTTTCACAGACATGCCTTATTTGTGTTCCTTGCCTCTCAGGCACACCCACTCCGACTTCTAATGGAAACGTCGATAGTTTCTACGTTGACCAGGTGACCGGTTGAAAACCTGGTTCTAGGATGACCACAGAAAGTGTCCACGTTCACCAGGCGCCCAAGTAAAAACCTGGTCCTATGATGACCACGGCAAGATGTAGAAAGGCTGGGACCAGTATGAGCCCAGCCCCTGTTGCACCAGCAGGTGTAGTTCAGCAACCTCGGCATCCTAAAGAATGTCGAGCTTCAGAGTTCGCAGCTGCGTGAAAGGCAGTCGCCTCAAACTTTGCAGGTTAGGATCCAAATGCTTGCTCACGAACAACACACGTTGATCACTGTCAAGGTTCGTGAGATCATCGGCAAGGTCAGTACACGTGTCTACAAGGTCGTCTGAGCTACCTATGTTCTATCTTCTGGCAGATAATGAGGTTGCATCCCACTCCCTGATCTTTCTGTTTACTTCTCATACTGATGAAGAGCATACTGATGTAAGCATACTGATGTAAGCATACTGATGTAAGCATACTGATGTAAGCATACTGATGTAAGCATACTGATGTAAGCATACTGATGTAAGCATACTAATGTAAGCATACTGATGTAAGCATACTGATGTAAGCATACTGATGTAAGCATACTAATTTTGATTAATAAGCCAAGCTTGGTCGACGACTGTCTTCAGTCTGCTCCTAACCTGAGCTCGTGTCCATCACTTCCTGTTTTTCACGGACCTTTGCGTGACTTCGGTGGTTTGTGTGTCCACAACGATAATCACATTTTTCTGTTAGACTTACGGGCAGTCTTATATTTACTAGATCTGTACTCATGCAGTGATTTTGACAGTCACCTTTCTGTTGGTACGGAACCTATCCCTTGCGTCATACTTTAGCCGTCTACCCCTCGGCCAGTCGAACCTCGTGAAACAGAAAGGGCCATAAACTGTTTAAAAAAAAAATTTAATGTTTTTTTTTACCCATACATTTACAAAAGTTAGTTGCGTATCCTTTACAGGACGTTGCAGAACTAACCCCAGCATTTGTTGGATGTTGTGGTTTTTCTAGGCAAATTGTACGTCCAGTAGTTTGCCATATCTCTCAGAATGGTCAGTTCTCGGTACCACCCTTTTTTAAGTCATTAGCGAATTGGACATAATGAGATGAGTTTATGTTTTATAGACCAATCAACAGTCCATGTATGAGGTGTTTGAAATCTCACCTGTTGTCACTACCTTCTATAGGAGTGGGGGAGGGGGAGGGGGATGGGTGTGTCTGCGTAGCGAAGTGGTCAAGCCGTTTGCCTCGTGCTCTGAAGGTCGTGGTTAGCTTCACGGTGACGCCGTTCAGTTCGCGAGTGCAAATCTTTATGAAGATTAATGGTGATCGTCGCCGTCTTCTTGCTTCTTCTGCCTTTCTATCCCCCAATGGAGCATAGGCCCTCAACCAACTCACGCCAAGTCGTTCTATCCTTCGCCATTACCTGGAGCTCTCCCCATGTCCTCCCAATCTTTCTAACCTCATTCTCCAGCTCTCTTCTCCATGTGTTTTTTGGCCTTCCTTTATTCCTATGCCCCTGTGGGTTCCAATGCAAAGACATTCTAGTTATGCTGTTCTCCTGTTTTCTCAGTGTGTGCCCTATCCAACGCCAGCGTCTTTTCCTCACCTCCTGATCCACTGAAGCCTGTTTAGTTCTCTCCCAAAGTTCTACATTAGTTATTCTATCATACCATTTTATTCCCTCTATTCTGCGCAGGCACCAGTTAATGAATGTCTGTAATTTATTAGTAATTGCCGTCGTTGTTCTCCATGTTTCCGCCCCATACAATAGTACTGATTTGACATTAGAATTAAAAATTTTTAGTTTAGTATTTCTTTTAATTTCTTTTGACCTCCATAAATTCCCTAATGCTATGAAAGCCCCTCTTGCCTTTTGTATTCTTATTTTAATATCTCTATCAGTTCCTCCATCTTTATCTACATTACTGCCCAAATAGGTGTACGACTCCACGTCTTGGAGTGGGGTGCCATTAAGAGAAACCACATTACTATTTGCCTGATTTATTCTCATTATCTGTGTCTTTCCTTTATGGATTTTCAGACCAAGCTGCTGTGATCTCGCATTAAGTATATTTAATTTATCTTGTATCTGATTCCGTGAATGTAGATCAGCTATGTGCGACGCTCTCGGCAGTTACGTA